CCCCCTGGGGCTGGCCTGCTGCCTACTGCTGCTGCTGGGGGGCTCGGGGGGCCTGGGGAGCCGAGGGACGCCACGGGGGCCCTGGGAAGAGGAGCAGGGCCCCATGGCGGAGGGGGGACCGTGGGGCAGGGCAAGGTACGAAGCCGTGAAGAAGCACTTGGGAGCTGTGGGTGCTCTCTCCAAGCAGTATTGGCAGTTCCTGGCATGCAAGGTGTGGCAAGAGGGCTGCAAAGAGGAGGAGGAAGAGTCCAGCCCCGGCCCAGGTAAGCACCTTCCTCCTTTCTATCCCGTGTCCCAAGAACAGCAGTGGGTCCAAACACCCCGCTTCCCCCAGCACAGGGGTCTGTGCCCCCAGCCCCTGTGGATGCTGTCCTTCCCTTCCCAAGGGTCACTGCCCTGGGCACCGCCCTCCTCATTCAGCTTACCCCGGGTTGCCACAACACATGTCTCTCCGTGCCCACCTGAGCCAGCTGCTGCCTGTTATGTGCTTACTCCCCCTCCCCACAGCCCAGGCTGCCTGGCAGGGCAGTGTCTGATCCCCTGCACCTGCTGATAACCGGATGCAGCTGAGCATCCATGCAAAATGCAAAACAGACACTTGCTGGCATGTCCCTGCTCAGACCGCTGCCTTTTCCAGGCTGGAGCTTGCCTGTGGTGGGCCAGGATTACCTGGAGATCCTCTCTGCCTGGTACTGCAGCTTTGGCAAGTGCTGCAAGACAGGAGACTGCAGGATAGTCAACAATATCACAGGTAGGTGCTGTGCTGTACTTGTGAGACCCCAAGCAGCGCTTGTCTCTGCTGCCTCTCCCTGTTGTCTCTTTTGTTGTGTTTTTTTTTTCTTTTTAAAAAAGTGTATTTTAGCAAGTGATGTAAGCAAAGGGCATTTCTGAGCAGGGTGCTGAGCTGGTGGGAGGGTGAGGGGCTGAGCTAAGTCCTGTTTCCCATTATTCATTTGTAGCTCTGAGACCACAAAAGAGTTTGCTCCTTACTGTACAGTGTATCTGCTCCGGTTTGCTGCAAGCACTGCCTTTGTCTAGTAGCTCCCAGGCATATGCGGTGGGATCCAAACTGGCCCAGTATCCAGCCCCAGGTCGGGAGGGTACACCGAGAGCTGCATGTAAGCCCCGCGCAGGTGTCATTGCACTTTGCTGGCCCTGAGTTAAAAAAGTATTTTAGCAAGTGATGTAAGCAAAGGGCATTTCTGAGCAGGGTGCTGAGCTGGTGGGAGGGTGAGGGGCTGAGCTAAGTCCTGTTTCCCATTATTCATTTGTAGCTCTGAGACCACAAAAGAGTTTGCTCCTTACTGTACAGTGTATCTGCTCCGGTTTGCTGCAAGCACTGCCTTTGTCTAGTAGCTCCCAGGCATATGCGGTGGGATCCAAACTGGCCCAGTATCCAGCCCCAGGTCGGGAGGGTACACCGAGAGCTGCATGTAAGCCCCGCGCAGGTGTCATTGCACTTTGCTGGCCCTGAGACTTCTGGTATCCGTACCCTCTGCTGGGAGCTTGTGAGGGCCTGTGGGCTTCAGTGCTCTCCACAGTTGTCAAATATCTCCTCCACTTCCCAAAGGAAAAAAGGAGTCAGTGGAAGATCTGTGTCTTTGCAGTCAGTAGCTGATGCAGGCAGGGTACAGGCAGCCTGCCTCATTAACCCTGTGGCTTTAATGCTACTTCAGACTCCTCTCAGACAGGCAGCCCCACCAGCAGAGCTGTGTGAGCTTAGTGCCCTGCCACGTTATCTCCTCTTATTCCCACCTGCAGCAGTAGCAGCAGCTGGGCTTGCAAGTTAAAGCTGAGCTCTTGCTCTCTCTTTCCTGCAGGGCTAGAAGCAGACCTCAATGGGCAGCTCCACGGGCAGCACTTGGCCAAAGAAGTCATCGTCCGGGCGGTGCAAGGGTTCCTGCAGAGCCCACAGCCGCAGAAGGCTCTGGTTCTCTCCTTCCATGGCTGGTCCGGCACAGGCAAGAACTTTGTGGCCCGGATGCTGGCCAGTCACCTGTACCGGGATGGGCTGAAGAGCGAGTGTGTCAGGGTGTTCATCTCGCTCTTCCACTTCCCCCATCACAAGTACATGGACTCATACAAGGTGAGAGCCAACAACATGGTGTTGCTGTGGGGATGGTCTGGTGTACTGGGTCTGGCTGGGATGGAGTTGATTTTCTTCACAGCAGCCCGTAGGGTACTCTGTTTTGGATTTGTGAGTAGCATAGTGTTGATAACACACCAGTGTTTTACTGAGCAGTGCTTGCACAGCCTCAAGGCTTTCTCTTTCTCCCACTCTGCCGCCCCTGCAGTCACTAGGTTGGGGATGTGCAAGAAGTTGGGGGACACACACCAGACAACTGACCCCAACTGACCAAAGGGATATTCTATGCCATTTAATGTCATGCTCAGCAATAAAAACTGAGTGGAGGGGATTTTGGGGTAGGAAACCATTGCTTAGAGACTGGCTGGGCATCAGTGGTAGGTGTGAGTGATTGCCTTTGCATCACTTGCTTTGATTTCTTTCTTTCTTCCTCTTTCTTTCGCTTATTAAACTATCTTTATCTTGACCCACATGTTTACTTGCTTTCGCTCTTCCTAATCTCTGCCCTGTCCAGCTGGGTGAGAGGGAATGAGCAAGCGGCTGTGCAGTGCTTAGCTGCCAGCCAGAGTTATCCCACCGCATTCAGGCTCACCCCCTGCACAATCTCCTGGTGGCGGTGACTGCTGCTGGGCTTCTCATACTCCTCCCTGCTGCTCTGCAGGCTCAGTTGAAGAAGCAGATAAGTGAGACTCTGCAGCTCTGCAAGCAGTCCCTGTTCATCTTCGATGAGGCAGAGAAACTTCATTTCAGCCTCCTGGATGCCATCAAGCCTTTCATGGCTCGCTATGACAACAAGGGCCAGGTGGATTACCGGAGATCCATCTTCCTCTTCCTCAGGTGATTTCTGGGCCCCCAAAGGGATGGGGAGAAACAAAGTGATGGAATTTATCCTCTGAGATGTGCGATATGAGGGGCTCAGGCTGCAGAGGAGGGAAAAGAGATGTCTAGCTCCTCCAAGAGGCAGTTGCCTCCATGGTCAGTTTTGCTTATTGATGCTGGGCATCCTTCCTGTTTATGGGGCATTTGCAGGAGGAGCTGAGGCCCAGCTTAGCTGGGACACCTGAGCCAGTGCCTAGGCTTTGAGACAAGGAACCAGTGAGAGTCAGAGCTAGCGTGGTGTCACCCTGCACCCTGGGCAGCTGAGCAGGGAGCTCCCTTTACTCCAGGGAGCAAAGCTGGGGCTGCAGGTCTTGGTGGGAAGTTCTTGTACAATGTGGCACTGTTAGTTGGGAGTGGGAGGCGGGGAGTTCCCACTGCCTGGCTGTGGCTGCAGGCTGAGGTCCCATCTGTCTGCTGTGTTGTGACGGCTGATCCTGGCATCATCTCACCCTGCGGTTTAGTGATTGGAGGTTAGTTCCTTTCCCATCCAGAGGGAGAAAGGTTTTTGGTATGTGCATGCCCCAGTGCTGTCCCTGACCCAGGCCTAGGTGGGACGCATCCTGGGGGGAAGTGGGACATCTCAAAACTGCTATGTGAGGTAGGCATATGCCTGAAGTAGCCAGTGAGAAATGCCAAGGAGAGACAAGCATCTTGGGCCCCCTTCAATTTAGGATTTACAGCCTTCAGCTTGGCTCTAGCAAGAGGTGTTCCCACAGGTTGGAGGTGGGCAGAGCATTTGTTCTCCATCTCCCACCATCCAGGTGAGTGTTCTAACCTCCAAGCTTGGTGGTTCCCCAGGGAAGTTTCTCTGCCCATGGAAGACCTGTATCTGTGCCGGGTGCTGGTGGAGCCGACCACATTTCAGTCCTACCTGCATGGGCCTCTGGCAGGAGCCATGGTGGAGGGGGCAGATTCTCCCTCGTTGCTCAGGGCAGGGTGGACATGCTGCCGGCTGTGCTGAGCTAACCTTGTGTCCTACCTGGCAAGCCATGCAGGTGCAGGGGGGGGACATGTCAGCCCCTTCGTGCCACTAAGCAGAGGGGAGCAGGGTGCCTTGAACTGCAGCAGTGTGTAATCCCAGGGGGGTTTCATCATACCTGGTGGCAGCGTGACACAGACCTGTTGTAGGAGGGCTGGCTCTGCCCCAGGGCTCTTTTGGGCACTGGCCTGGTCCTGCAGCTTTGGCCAGGTTTGGGGGATGGGGTGGGACTGGCTGTCTGTCCTCAGTCAGAAGGGGCTGTTTCTCCTGTGGTCTGGGTGGGAGCAGGATCAGTACAAGCTCTTTCCCCCCACAAGGCAGTGCGGGGAAACAGTGGTGGCTTTTTAATTTTGCCTCCCCTCCATTTGGGGAATGGGTCCAGAGCCTCTGACACAAGAGGAAAGATGGGTGCAAGATCTGTGTCTCCCAGAGGCCTCTCTGCCTCCCACCTACACAAGCCCTGCAGCCAGCTGGTTCCCTGTATTGCCAGCTCATGGGTGGCGGGGCACTCGGGACTGGGGGCTGTTGTCCGAGGCTGTTGCAAACCCCTCACCAGCACGCGGGGGCTGCCTGGCCTTGAACTGCTTTCCAAGGTGAGGGGCTGCCCTGGGAGCCTCAATGACTGTCAGGACCTCGCGTCCCCCACCACAGAGCTGCTCCCACGGTGGGTGTCCAGAGGAGTCCTCGTGTGGGAACTGCGCTGCTTTGTCCCTCGGGCAGGGGATGCTTTGCCAAGTCCTGGGCTGCCACTTGAATCCCTGCCCTGGACCTTTACTTCTAGTGGGACTCCTGCCACGTGCTCTGCCCTCCAACTTGGACTTTCAGGGGTGGCTTGTTAAGAGTCTGGTGCGGGGCCAAGTGTCACTTGCGAGGTCAGTGGCATCCAAGCCAGGACAGGGGACTGACGGAGATGGAGGATTCTGTTGGCTTCTGGTCCCACCGTGGGAGAGAAAGCCCCAGGGTCTGGGCTGGCAAGATGGAAGACAGCTGTATAGATGCCTATAGAAAGGGGTTCTTTGGGAAGAAAGCTAGTTCCTCTGCGAATGTTTCAGATGCTGATCCTACATGGTAAATCCTTCATTGCTAACAATTGCTGAGGCCTGTCTGTAGGGGAGGCTGCTGGCAGGTCTCAGCAGTGCATCTCTGGGGGCACGGTCGAGTGACTTCCCTTCTGTCTGCAGCAATCTCGGTGGCAACACCATCAATGAGGTAACCCTGGACTTCTGGCGAGCTGGCCGGGCACGGGAGGAGATCTCCATGGAGTTCCTGGAGCAGCAGCTGCGGCTGGAGCTGCTGGAGCCTGCAGGTAAGAGCTGGGCTCGCTTGCAGGATGCTGTGGGCAGGCTGCCCGCAAACCTGCCCCTCCACACCAGCTCGGGGCCCTGCTTACGCAGTACCATGCGCCTTATGCTGCACAAGTGTGTGTGCTGTGGAACAAGCCTTTATTCCAACACCCACCCCGGGGTTATTTGCAACGTGAGCCCCTTCCTTCATCCACGTAAGCATGGCACCGCTGCAGCAGCGAGGCACACGAGGAGGGAGCTGTGACTCCTTCTTGCCCCTTCAGCCCTGAAAATGGCCAGGTTGCGAGAGGCAGCCTAACACTGTAGGGAAGTATCAAGGCTTCTCTGGGGATTCAGGCTCCTCTTGGCTTGAGGTGGGCAAGCTGTTGTGATGTTCTGTGTTCAGTGTAAGTGCTGGCCAGCTCTTTACAAGTGGAAGGGTGTCTCTCCCACCACGTCTGGCTGGATGAGCCAAGACAGCCCCCTCAGTAAGACAAGTCTTGCCTCGCAGAGGGATGCCAGCTCTCAGATGAAGCTTCTGAAGTTTGTTTTGTCTTGCTTTTTGCTACAGAGAATGGTTACGCCCGCAGCCACCTCCTCGAAGAGAACCTCATTGATTTCTTCGTGCCGTTCCTGCCCCTGGAGTACCACCATGTGAAGCTCTGTGCGCGGGATGCTTTCCTGGCCCGTGGACTTCCATACACTGAGGCAGCCCTTGATGAGGTGGCCGGGATGATGGTGTTTGTCCCCAAAGAAGAGAAGCTTTTCTCTGCACAGGGCTGCAAATCTGTATCCCAGCGCATCAATTACTTCCTTCCTTGAACACCAGGTGGGACTACACCAGTGGTGAAGGTGGTTCTGCACACTAGGAGCAGAAGGTCAGGCAAGCAGGTTACCCAGCCATGCACTTGCACAGGGACAGAGACTTAACCCCTTGTTACTCCGAGGGCTGTTTGCAAGGAAGGAGGCGCACCCTGCCCAGCCTTACTCCTGGGACACGGAGACAGCCTGCGCTAGGCTGCGTTTGAAGTCTGTCCGGTGTTTATTAAGTCCCTTCTTTTAGCAGGTAGTAGCCTGATTGTGCTGACAGGTGCTTTGTTTGACGTGAGCGGGGACGTCCCAGTCCTTGGTTTGTTAGCATGTAATGAAGGCCTTGGACAGGCTGGTCCTGTTGAGACAGTCCAGCAGAAGCCACGTCCCTATCCCTGTCCCTGGTTTTCTGTCACTTTACAAGCTCTCAAATTGCACAGAACTGTTTAGCTGGAGTTGAGTTTTTCTTCTCTGTTGCTCTCCTGCACTCACAAGGCATCTGCTGCTCGGGGACCCACGTGCCAGGATCACGGTTTGTGCGGGGAGGCCCTTGCATAGAGAAAATGACTGAATAATCTCCTCTGGAGATGTCAAATCCATAGCCTCTCGCTTTGGAGTGTCCCTCTCTCGTTGGAGTCTTTCGTTGTATGGAAGCAGCTGCGAGGATGAGGTGAACTTCTGCTGAAATTCTTTTTCTAAGCAGTTTGAAGAGCCTGTTTGCTTCACTGCAAAATGAAAAAAAAGGAGAGACTGATTGCCCTTTCAAGGGCAAAGGGCAGTTGAGGAGGATGGTGGCTGAAGGAACAGGCTGCAGTTGAATTCGAGTTTTCAGGGATGCAGTAAGCTTGGCGTTTTTTTTTTTTTTTTTTTTTTTTTTTCCCCCCCAGTATGTTGCATGCTGTGGTTTTTTGGCTGGTATCAGCATTACTACACTAAGGGGCTGTTTGCTGTCTGGGTACTTGCCAGGTGATAAGTATGTTACAGCAGGACCAAAAAATTTCGACAGCGTTACAGGAATCACTTTGTGACCTCTAGGTCAAAACTCCCTTCCAACACCGCTGGGCTGGGCAGTGAGGTGAAACAGCACATGCCAAGGATGGCTTGTGTGGACCTTTGATCTGTTTTAAGCTTTGAACCCCTCTGCGGTGCCAGTGATGAGCAGCACGACCTCTGGGAAAAGATTGACCAGACACACTTACTGCTCCTGCAGACTTTGAATTCGTGTTTCCCTCCGGGCACACTGACTCAGTTATCTAATGAGGCTTCATAGTCCAAGGCAGGAAGGCGAGCCAGCTGCTTTCTTACTGCTCAATTGATGCAAAGTTAGTTTAAACTTACCTAGATTGGACCTTAGGGCCCGTGCCAGCGTGCGCTGTTATCAGGCATTTCTGAGACTTGGTTTGTGGATAATCTCTCAATCACAAGTGTCAAGCCTAAAGCTTCAGCCTGGGAAAGAGCAGAGGGAGATGTGCCCGGGGGAGTCAGCTGGGGAAGGGAGGATCCAGCCCCACAGAAGGACACAACTCGGGTTGTGTTTTATAATTTGGGCAGAAAGCTCAGAAAGTTGTTAGTTAGTTGAAGGTTAGTTGCTTAGAAGGTTGTATAAGCCAGGATAACCTATGATTTTTTTTTTTTTTTTAAATGCAAAGGAATCTTTAGCTGTCCAGGTTAAACTGATGCTGTTTGGAGTGGGAGGGAGTCACTTTGTCAGCCATTTCACCAGTGCGGGGCTGGTATGAAGTTGGCATGTTAAGCAGTTCTTAGCGTTACTGATTAAGGAGGTGGTGTTGTTACTAACGAGGGCAACTGTCAGACTGGTGATGGGAGACCTGCACTCTGCCAGGTCACACTCCTGTATGTTTGAGAATTAAGTGAGCATTTGCTTATGCAACCCCAACAGCAAGAACGGCCTTCCTCTGACCCTGACCACTCCACGGCAATGTTAACTTTGATTTTAAAGGCATAAATAAAGATACTGCTTTTCTTTGCAATCTGGCAGAATTAAATTATTTCTCTTTTTAACAGGTTTATAATCATCTTGTCTTTTCTACCCAAAATAACAAACTTCAGGTTAGTACTGAGCAGCTTCAACTATTACTTAAGGAAAAAAAAGGCAGCATACACTCAAGTGTTTTTTGCCAATAAAATATTGCAACCTTTATTTAAAACAAAATGCAAATTGGCAAAACTTTGTGGAACGACAGGCAAAGAGGCCCTTCAAAGGGCCTTATTTACATCAAGTTTAACACTGTTCGCAGTTCACAGTCAGACGATAGTGAGAGAATTAAATTAGAAAAACAACCAAAATATATTACAATAACAATTAAAAACAAAAACAGTTGACAACACTGGTAGAGTGATTGGTGATTAACGTGTTTCATTTTAATCTGTTCCTGCCCTCAATGAGTTCACTACTGGATACAAAGAGCGTGCCGAGCCAATCGGGCTTTACCTCCCATGCACAACAGACACATTTGGAAGAACGACCTCCTTTGGTACAGACATTTCTTATCGTGTAGGTATCATAAATAAGTCAGGTGTTCCATAACCTCTTATTTCCTACCACCAGGGAATAGGCTGAAGGTTTTGTTCTACACTACAGGCAATTGGAGTGCAACCCCAGCGCCCATCCGTGCTAGATGGTGCCACTCGCACTGAAGTGGGAGGTTTCCAAGCATGCTGTAGTCGCTACCCTTCAGTTTTCCTGCCAGCTACTGATTAGCAGCAGGCCTGGGTTGAGTGTTTTAAAAGAGAAGACAGCAGCCTGTTACATTTGCAGAAAAGATTTTCTGGATTCATTAGTGCTTGTCACAGCTGCTGCTGCCCAAGAGCACCGACAAGCAAAACGCGGAGCGCCTCAGCTGCTGGGGAAGCCTGCCTTGGGTAAGCGGTACTGGCATCGGGGTCTGGATTTCTTTACTCTATGACTGCACAGTGTAACCCATCCTACCTGCTCACACACCCGCTGCCTTTTTGGGAGGGGCTGCTCTGTTAACACAGCAGTCTTGGTGCAGCTATTGCCCCACGCTGTAGGGTTTAGTTCCCGCTGCCCGCAGAGAGCAGTGTGCCATAAAACTCTTGCGTAAGCACACCCGATGGGATGTCAACACGCGTGTGTTTGACTGTGTCTCACTGACACAAGGCCAGTGGTGCTCAAGAGAAGGAAACAGAACACGCGCACACACACACCCTTCCCCATTGTGTTCTGCATCAGCAACGCTGCTCCATTCAATTCCGCTTTCCCAGAGGCTAAATTTGATGCAGTCCCAAGACCCAGACTCTTAATTCAGCTTCACCCCTGTCCGCACTAATGAAAAATATGATTAAATCAAAGTGCTGCCAGTCAGACAGCCGAATGCACCACTTCTGGGGTTAAAAAGGGTGTACAGTGCAGGAAGAAGAGAGAATTGCACCTGTGAGTCAGCTGATTCCCCACAGTAGCTAGGAAGAGAAAGTGCCCCACATCAACTCACTTGTGTGAGCGCATGCTTTGTGCTTGGCATTACCAGGCCCTACATGATGCCATCCCCTGATGCAAAGAAGACTACTTCAAATTCTAGCCCATACTAGTGCAAGTGAGAGAGCCCGGCTGCAATTGCATCCTTACCACACAAGGCCTTCTGATGGTGTTGAGGAGAGGAAACGCAACAGGAGTTTATGCCTTGTCCCTACCCTAAACAGTGGAGCAAGATGTGCTCTTCACTGGGACAAATAACGGGGCTCCACCATCCTTATGTTACTTTGAACATACTGTGCAAAGCTGAAAGCAGAGACGCTGCAACAGTAGAGACCTTTAAGGCTGAACAGAAAGCCAAACCTAGCAAAAGGGAGAAGGAACGGTAACAATTTTAGGAGCATGGCCACGGAAGGAAGAACAACTGAACGGTGATTTACAGCAGAACCAGCTTTCCCAGATACCATCCTTCTGCTGTCCTGCCAGAGGGCAGGGGAGAATTCCGGTTTGGGAATAAAACACTGCTGGGCAGCAGAAGCAGCAGCAATTCTGCAGCCTCCTATTTAGGGGAAAAAAAACTAGTGTCAAGTTAGCACTACCTCTGCCACCATCTACCTACCTGATGGGAGTAAGACAATAGGTAAGAGCAGAGAAAGCGTTCTCCATAGGAGTGATGACAGGCAAATCCCTAATTCCACTGTTCTGCGTCTTCCCTCCACTGGAGGGATCAGAACTGAATGGGCTTCTGTGTTGCCCACAGAGGTTGTGGAGTCTCCATCCTTGGAGATGTTCAAAAGCCGCCCGGGTACAGTCCTGCATGGTGGCTGTAGGTGGCCCTGCTTGAGCAGGGGGGTCAGACCAGACGACCTCCAGAGGTCCCTTCCAACCTGAGCCATTCTGCGACTCTGTAATAGCAGATGGCTGCTTCAGCTGTGTTACCGCCCACCGCCCTGTCCCACTGCCCATCCTCTCTGCTGTGGGGGAGGAGAAGCCAGGCGGCATCTGAAAGGAAGGTGGGGATGACCACTGGAGGGGAATCAGTCCTTTGCTGGGGCACAGTTAGTTTCTTCAGAAGGGTCAGAAAGGGCTGAAAGAGGGTAGATTTAGTAGGTAGAAATTCCAGGAATTGTTTGCTATTCTTTCACTTTTGCTGGAGCTTTTCTGGAAGACTGCCATTTGGGAAAAGAAAAAGGCTTTTTTCAAAATACTAATCAGAACTGGACTATGATCCTTAAAATTTTCTGGTTAAAATACCTTTCCCCTGAGAATCACTTCAGTTTCAGTCCATTTGTCCTAGGCTGAATAGTAGTACAATGATGAAACCACGCGATTGTCTGCCAGGGCAAACAAGACCTGCCTTTCTGCCCCAAAGAGAGCTCCCATACCTTTTCACCCCTTTTGATTGTTTAAAAGGCCATGTGAAGCAATACCACAAGCTTTCTTCCCTTTGCAGGTCACCCTTCCAAAGGCAGTTAGTTTGGTGTGCAGTGATGCACACCGTCCATAAAGATGACTGAAAGAGATAAGGTAAACTGCAAAAGCCCTCAGTAAAGTCTACAAGATAACGGTTTGGTACTCTGCCTTACAGCTCAGCATTGCTGTGAAAAAGCCCCGGCACAGCTTCCCCGCCCCGCTGACCTGAGGGCTGCAGGAAAGCCTGGGCAAGCTGAAAATCCTATCGCAGAAC